ACAAATATGATACAGTGTCTCAGAATACCTATCATTTTCTAGTGCTCGTCGAGTTCTGCCATATCTAATTTAGTTGGTCAAAAATATCAATAAAAGAAACTATGACAGGGCCCGTCACGGCCCGCTTTGGGCCGTCCGCAAGAATGAAATTAGGCTGAAAATGAGCTGAAGTTCGGCAGTATTCGAGCCATAAAAGTTGGTGGCCTAGAAAAAACAATTTGTCAAAACTAGGCCATTATGCTGAAATGACCTAGAAAAACTCAATTCGCATAACCTAGGTCACCATGTTAAAACGTCTTATAAAACACATCAGATCCATTTTCGACAATTTCTAGGCCATTTACTCTGGTGGCCTAGACAAATCATGTTCAGAAAGTTAGGCCACCATGATAAAATGGCCTAGAAAACACATCAGGTGAATATCAGGCCATTTACCATGGTGACCTAGAAAAATCATAATTCCAAAAAGTTAGACCACCATGTTGAAAACGTCTAGAAAACACGAGAGTTGAATTTTTGTCGATTTCTAGGTCATTTACCATGGTTGAGAAAGTTACGCCACCATGCTAAATGACCCAGAAAACCTTACCCGGGTCATTTCTAGGCCATTTACCAGGGTGGCCTAACTTTCGCAAGGTGAGTTTTCTAGGCCAACATTATTCATGGCCTATATATGGTCTGATATTCACCTCGTGTGTTTTCTAGGCCATTCACCATAGTGGCCTAGAAAACTCTTTTTGCAAAAGTTAGTCTCAGGGCTGTGCCACGGCCGGCCGCGGCCGGCCCAGGCTAGCCGCGCGGCTTTTTGGAAAAGTTTTGAAAATGGATTTCTTCCTGAATATACTTGTTTTCCGAGAAAAAAAACAACTACCAGAGGGACGGTTTTGAGGTACACAGTCTGGAATCTAATGAAAACTATCCGGACAAAATGATTTTTGAGGATTCCGGAATACGAAATACGGATTCTGCGTTCTGTCGTCTCTAATTACTAGGATTGTGATAATTTTCACCAACATAGTCATTTTTCAGATAATAACATAAAATTTGAACACTTTCCGGAAAAAAAAACATTTTCCAAAAATTTTTTAGTACTCAAGATTTATGTTCATTTTTTTGTACGAAAGACCGAAACACAATTTGCAAACACACACTGAGAAGTTTACATAGGGATAAGTAAATTATACGTTCCTAATCCTTCAAAAAAAAAAAACTAGGTTTCATTTCACTGGATTTTATCAGGCTAGCCGCGGCTTTCTCGGCTTTTGAGTAAAATATCAGTATTTCTAGGCCATTTACCATGGTGGCCTAGAAAACTCAAATTGCAAAAGTTAGGCCACGGCCCCAGAAAACGCATCAAGAATATTTCGAGGCCGCTACGATGGCCTAGAAAAGTTATGCTGAGAAAATTAGGCCACTATCGATTTCCCCAATTTCCAGACGTCGACTCGGATTCTGAAGAATTTGACACAATCGGTTCGGAGGACGATGGTGAGAGCAGTGAGGACGATTGGTGGGAGGATAACGAGTTGAAGGATGAGGATGGAGAAATGCAGGACGACGATGATGACGATGACGATGGAAATTCAGATGAGAGTGAAATGGATGCGGATAGTGATGATGGAAGTGGTAATGGATCTGGATCGGAGGTAAGAATTCCAAATTTCGTGGTAAATGGAGCGAGAATTCGGAAAATTTGAAAGACGAAATGATCTAAAAACTCCAGATGAAAATTTCGATTTTTTGACTGGAAATCTACAAATCTAGATTTTTGGAAATTCCTAAATTTCTGATTTTTGGATTTGGATTTTCTGAACTTCTAATTTTTCCTATAATTTCTGATTGTCTGAAATTTTCAATATTTTTCCCTTCTTTTCCCCCTGAAAAATCACCTATTTCTATGCTGAAAATCCCTTAAATTAGAATTCATCTATTCCCTTTTTCCATCAAAAAATCAGGTTTCCCATTATACATCTGCCATTCTCTTATGTCACCAGCCAGTCAATCAACACAGAAAAAACTGAAATTACACCTTAAAACTTAATATGAGGGATATCCAAAGTGAGAGAGGAGATCATCAGGCCCCGATAAGAAATTGAGAATTGAAAAAAACGAGGAAATTCAACAAAATTCTATAGGTTTCGGTCTGTAAATTTTTAGATTTTTTAGCTGAAAATCTGAAAAAAATTGTTAAAATTTTGTTCAAAGTTTGGAATTTTTTAGGCGAAAAGTTCCAAAAATTTGGGAATTTTTATTTAAAAATTTCATTTTTTTATAGCGAAAACTGACTTTGAAAATCTGAATTTTCCAGAACGACGACGATGACGAGGACATGGAGGTCGGCTAATTCTAGGCTCCGCCCACAAATCGAAACATCACAATTTTCTTCCCTTATTCCATCAATTGATTTCCACTTTTTCCCGTTTCCCCTCTCTATTTTTACCCAATTTCCTTTGTTTTCCACACATTTACGCTCTATTATCACTATTATCAGTAGAGCGCACTTGCTTCAATTTGTTGTTTTGTTGGTGTTGATTTTTTCTTTGTGCTTCTTAAAATTGTTATCACTTTTTATTTTCTTTTCTCTCCCCCGTTTTTTGTGGCCTTGTTATTCATTTTTCTGGTAAAAATTTAAATTTTTCCGAAAATTGGAATTTTTGGATCCCAAAAAATCCAAAAAAAAAATCCCAAGAATTCAAGAAAAAAATCCTTTAAAATCCTTAAAAAGTCCTCTATAAATTCCTAAAAAATATCTAAAAATCCCTTGAAAATCCCTTTTAAAAAACCCTAAAAATCCCTTAAAAATCCCTAAAAAATCCATAAAAAATTCCAAAAAATCCTTAAAAAATCCCAAGAATTCAAAAAAAAATCCCAAAAAAAAGCGAAGAATCCCTGCAAAATCCCAAAAAAATCGCCAAAAAGTCCCAAGAATTCAAAAAAAATATCTCAAAAAATCTCTAAAAACTCCAAAAAATCCCTTTAAAAATCCCAAGAATTCAAAAAAGAATCCCAAAAAGACGCGAAAAATCCCAAAGAATCCCTTAAAATGCACTAAAAAATCGCAAAAAAAATCTCAAAAATCCCCAAAAAATCCCTAAAAAATCACTAAAAATCCCTTTAAAACTCCCAAGAATTCAAAAAAAAATCCAAAAAATCCCTAAAAACTCCAAAAAATCCCTTTAAAAATCCCAAGAATTCAAAAAAAAAATCCCAAAAAGACGCGAAAAATCCCAAAGAATCCCTTAAAATGCACTAAAAAATCGCAAAAAAAATCTCAAAAATCCAAAAAAATCCCTAAAAAATCACTAAAAATCATACTTGTTAAATTCCGGGCCGGCCCGCCAAAGCCCGGGCCTGAATAAAATTTCAAGGCCCGGGCCCGGTAGCAAAAGTTTTGTCACTTTGAACCGAATTTTGAGCTCTCAATACAATTTTCTCCATTATTTTTTGTGTTTTTGGATTGTTTGTCTGTTTGATCAAAAAATATCAAAAAAACTCGAAAAAAATCACATAAGGGTCCCCTCTTATGTGTTTTTTGAAATTTTTACACAGGCCCACCGGGCTAGGCCGGGCCTCCGAAATTCGGGAAAAAGCCCGGCCCGGCCCGTTACAAGTATGCTAAAAATCCCTAAAAATCTCTAAAAATCTCAAAAACCCAAAAAAATCCCTTTAAAAATCCTGAAAAAACCCAAAAATCCCAAAAAACCCTTAGAAATTCCAAAAAAAAAGTTTGTCCCAAAAAAAATTTATCTCAAGAAAAATTGGAAATTTTTGGCCACAATTCTTGAAGCATCATAAAAATTTTGCACACAAATTTTTTTGGAGCAAAAGCACTTCATTTTTTTCTGCGTCTCTCAATTTTTTGGCCCATTTCTCTTTTTTTTCAAAAAGTAATTGAATTGAAGAAAAGAGGAGAGCTCCCGAAAAGTTTTCTATTCAAAAAACTCTTCATACATACAAAATTTTGTCTTCTGTGTTGAGCAAAATTTTGGGAAAAATTCTTTTTTGAAAGTTTTTGAAAAATTTTTGTTTTTCTGGAAAAAATTGTTTACCCCCAGCCCCGACAAACAGAAAACATTTAACATTTTGGAGGAAAAGAGAGCGAATTCTAAATTTTGTCGCTTTTTTTTGAAAAATTTTTGGAAAAAAAAATTTTTTTTGTTGGAAAATTTTAGAGCAATTTTCTATTTTTTGGTCAAAATATTGGCAAAATTCCGAATTTCATATTGAGCAAGTTCGTAGTTAACCGCAAGTTTCTAGCTCTAACTTTTCTTGGGATTTGGGCGTTTTTCTGACTAAAGCAGGCTGTAAGGCGTCTCTGCTCGCTCCATCTCCTTTTCCGTCAGAAAAACGGTCATATCACAGAAACGGTTAAAGCTAGAAGATTTTGGTTCACTACAAAATTGCTGAGCATAGAATTCTGCACATTTTTTAGTTGACAACTTTTTTCTAGCTAAAACGGTTCATGAGATAGGAGCCCTTGAAGAGACGCAGACACTGCATCACTGCGCCCTCCTAAAATACCGTCATATCTCGCGAAGCATTGAAGCTTGAAAAAAGTTGTCAACTACAAAATTGCTCAGCATAAAATTTGGCACATTTTTGTAGTTTATAACTTTTTCCTATCTCCAACGGTTCTCGAGATACGCTCCTATCAAGTTAGCCGAGAACCAGAGAGACGCAGAGAAACGAGACACTGTCGCTTATCTGCGTCTCTCTCTCTCTCTCCGACTCCGTTTTTTTTGCTGGAAAAGAATTTTTAATGACCGATTGCCGACAAGGAAACTTTTTTTTTCGTAGTTTTCTTATCAGAACAAAAAAGAGAAATAGTGTGTGAGACGAAGAGACGCAGAGACTCTTCCTTCCCGCGAAAAAATAAAAATGGAAACGAAAAAAAAGAAGACACAACCTAATTTTCATTCTCTTTGTCTTTTATTTTTTGAACCAATGACCTAGTTTTGAATCTTCTGATTTCCTTACAATTAGTGTTAAGATAACAACATGTGTGTGTTTTTTTTCCAAAATTGCCCTGATTTTTCGGTATGGTGTTTTCAAACGCTCATATCTTGAGAACCATTAGAGCTACCAAATTTAGGTCAACTACAAACTTGCTCAACATAAAATTTCAGACATTTTTGTAGTTGAAAAGTTTTTCATAGCTACTACGGTTCGCGAGATACATGCACCGGAAGAGACGCAGACAATGCGCCACTGCACCCTTTTGAAATACCGTAATATCTCGAGAAGCATCAAAGCTAGATAAAAGTGATCAACTACAAACTTGCTCAGCTTAAAATTTTACACATTTTTGTAGTCAGCAACTTTTTCATAGCTATAACGGTTCATGAGATATGAGGAGAATTTTTTATTTTTTTTAATTTTAAAAATTGCTATTTAATGTTTTTTTTTCAAAAAAAAAACTGTGCTCAGACTCAATTCGAATCTTGTTTTTCTGTTTTTCTAGCTATTAGAGGCTATTAGAGAAAAAGTCTTTCCGAGCCAAATAGCCAGCGAGACGCAGAGAAACAAGAGTGTATCGCTTCTCTGCGTCTCTCTTTAGCTCGGCTAACTTGATAGAAGCGTATCTCGAGAACCGTTGGAGATAGGAAAAAGTTATAAACTACAAAAATGCGTAAAATTGTATGCTGAGCAATTTCGTAGCTGACCAAAATTTGATAGCTTTAACGCTTCTGGAGATACAGCGGTATTTCGGGAAAGCGCAATGTCTGCGTCTCTTCCAAAGCTTGTATCTCAAGACCCGTAATAGCTAAGAAAAAGTTGTTAACTACTAAAATGTGTAAAATTTTATGCTGAGTAATTTTGTAGTTGACAAAATTATGCTAGCGCAACTGATTCTTGAGATATGAGCGTCTTAGAGCTCCATACTCAAAAAAAAGCTCAAAACAATGTTTTGAAATTCCCCTCTTTCTCTTTTTCTTTTCAAAAAAAAAAGGTATTCAACAAATCCAATATATATCCGAATTCAATTCATCACCGTCGCTCCTCGCTACAAGTCATCCATCACATTAGGTACAATTAAAATTCGGGGCGAAATTTATATTTATTTTCTCTCTCTCTCTCTCTCTCTCTCTCTCTCTCTCTCTCTTTCTTTGTCTTTCATACTGTTTGAATCCATGGAAAAGTAAAATGGGGGACAACCGCAGATGACCGTCGTCCAATTTCCATTTTTCTACTTTCACTCATTTCTTTTTTTTCAGGCTGCAGCATGTCCCACTTAAAGATGGCCTAGAAACCCAAAAATGTCCTTGTAACCCAAAAATGTGCAGGAAGCCTAAATAAGGCCTAGAAATAGGGATAGCCTAGATATCCGAACATGGCCTAGGAACATAAGTTTACCTGGAGCAATTAAAGGTGACGTCGAAACATGAAAGTGGCCTAAAAACCTTTTGATGGCTTAGGAACCCAAAAATGGGATAGGAAACCAAAAATTGCCTAGAAACCCGTTGATGACCTAGGGAACCAAACAATGCCTAAAAACTAATTCTAAGTTTTCTAGGTCAATTTCGGATTTTAGGCCATCTCTGGGTTTCTAGGTCATTTCTAGGTTTCTACTATTATTAAGGATTCCTAGGCCATATCTGGGTTACTAAGAAGATGCTCGGGTTCTGGGCCATTCCTGGGTTTCAAGATAATTTTCGGATTTTTAATCTATCTTTGAGTTTCTAGACCAAGTTCGGTTTTCCAAAACAGCTCTGGATTTCTAGGCCATTTTCAGATAGCTAGGCCAAGGTTTGGGTTTCTAGAACATCGCTGGGGTTTTAAGCCATTTTCAGATTTATTAGAATTTCAAAAAAAAAAAAGATTCGCAAATTTTTTTTCTGATGTCTGAATTTTGAAAAAGTCAAAAATGTTGGATGTCACACATTCAGTCATTTTGTAGCTCTTTTTGGCATTTTTAAATTTTTAAATCTTTTTGAAAGTTATTGAATTTTTAAATTTTTCCTTGGTTTTTAGATTCTTTTAACTTGAAAAAATTCCTGAGAAATTTCTAGAAATTGTTTTTCAAAAAATCTCATGATCCGACACCTATGCCCTTTTTTCTTCTAGAAGGTCATATTTTTCTTTTTTGTATGACTAATTGGCAGAAATTATTACTATAGCAATGAAAGTAAAATTTTTTTGTTTTTATGACGTCATATTTTTTTGAGGTCCTGAGATTCTGAAATTATGAAAATCTTGAATTCTTGGATTCCGGGATTCTGAAATTCTGAAATTCTGAAATTCCGAAATTCTGAAATTCTGATATTCTGAGGATCTGTATATTTGAGGTTTTAAGATTCTGAGATTCTAAAAATCTGAGAGTCAGAAATTCTGAGTTTCTGAGTT